TTGAAAGTCTTGTTTAAGAAATTGATTATTTCTACAGTTATAAGATCTTTTAGAAGGTGCAACGAATTATTCTAGTCTGGTTGCCACAAACTACTGTATTCATGTCATTACTTTTTTGGTAAAGAGACGTGTCTCATTACGTTTTAAAAGAAGTCCACACAAAACGATTCTTGTGGAGCTTGATAGAGTCACTGTTCAGAGATAGTACAAAACAAGGCTGGGCCATCGAAATCAACAATGTGTTGGTTTTAAAAAGTTGGGCTTCTAAGACGTAGGTAGCGAATTCACTATTAACTTCAAATGCCTGATTACTAAGTTTATTTGAGGAGAATTGGCATGGCAACCTAACTTGACGCTACAGCTTTCCTTCTGTGCAGACCCCTAAATGGGATAGGCACGGAAGAGACTTTGGCATAGAAAGCCATTCACTTGGAATTAGGGGTAGAAGAGCGAGATTAACGGTGGTGACTTTTGATAGTTAGGCTTTAGTAGATTATTGAAGATATGAGTATTAAGGTGTTGTGGCCTCTGGTATGGTCGCAGTCTCCTTTCGATTTATAGAAGTGGGTTGACCTTGTTGTATCAACATAGGCTTGTTTTTAGGGCGACTTAGTAGAACGCACCTATTCCGAAGTCGTCTGCCATAGTAGTTGTCATAATTCCCAGCATTCCCATGTACCAATCCAGTCTGATACTGGGACTTATTACAACTACTATGGCAGACGACATCGGACTAGGTGCGTTCTATTAAGTCGTCTTGACAACAAGAATAAGTTGCGACGAGGTAAACCCACTTCTTTAAATGTGGAGCTTAATTTTAGGCTTGATATCCCAGTTGCTCTCGTGTACTTTTTATTCCATATTACAATTAGTTCAACAGATAGGCTCGATGCGGCGACTAAGTTCGCTTACTCCCCGCGGCACAGTGCCAATCAGTCATGCTTCCAGTAGTGTGTCTTGAGTTTAGAGCTGACTTTACTGGATGGTTATGACGCTAGGTATAACAAAACTGTCTGAATTAAGTCACTACCTGATTAAATTTTAAGTCGCTTGTCTTACCTTAAAATCTATACTTGAAATAGTTATCTGCATTCCAGAGTATGGTTTTTAGGCCACGATTGCCTAGGTCGTCAAGGCCAAATTTAAAGTCCAGTGCACTGCTACTAAAAAAATGTAGAACTGAATTTATCTTAATTTTCCTTTGATTTTCATGTTTATCTTAACTGAGAATAGGTCGAGATATTTACGGTTTTATTTATCCTCAATCGAGCCCTACTAATTTTCTTAAGCGAGCTTCTATCTCGGTTTTGCTCATTATGGAATAGTTACCTACCTATAGTTACTTATGATACTTTTTGTTTGAATTTTATCTCATTTAAGGTTTTTTAATCTGGTCTTTCATTCAAATTCAGCTAGCTTCACAAACACTCTCCCCCTGAACTCATATACATATCCTAAGTGAAAAGTCAAATCCTTTGTTAGAATTCATACGTATTCTTTAAGTATAATTCGAGGTATTGAATAACTGATTCTGGATTTGAATAATATGGTTTTTAATGCTGTATAGACCTATTGAGAAAAATGTTCTTTCAGTTGTGATCCGATTTCGCGTATTTTATAATAAACCCCATCAGAGCCTTCCAACAAAATATCATATCTTCGAAAATCGAGGTTTATTTGTTCTATTTTAGGAGGCTGTATTTTACAAGCTTATAAAGGACTATTAATATGTGCATTGCCATTGTAATTCAAAATCACTGCTAATGAAAAATGAGTGAATATTATCTATACTTATTTCCAAAATACCAAAAATATTCTTCTTCCTCATACTCTTTATTTCTTCAATATTTTATGTTTTAAAGAGGTCTTAGCTCAGTATTTGCATTTTAAAAATATTAAAATTTGCTGATTAAATTAGTTATTTCCTCTTCTAGTCATTGCCTGGCTGAATCGCCAGCTTTCAGAGACGCAGTTGACAGCTGTACAGGCTCGTTACCAGACCTCTGTAACAACTCCTGGTGGATTTGTTTTTTCTTCTGGAGAAGCGAGGAGGTCCATGGGTCAACTGGTTGGCCAGCCCATCTCCACTCTTTCCTCATTTCCTACACCGATATCTAATTCTCTTTCGGCAAATCAAGCTATTGGCCGCACCGAAAGATGGCAATCTGCTGTCACTGCAGTTTCTGGCAAGTCATTTTGATTAATTTCCTTGCTATCTCTGAATATTTTAAAATAATGTTTCGCAGAGGTTCTCCTGGTGGTTATTTCGGAAAGCTGAGCTCCACATGAGGAAGTGAAAAGGCTTCACTTCTCTTAATAGTGTTTCTTTGGGTTTTTTTAAATTTGACATTGACCTGACTTTAAAATTTACTTAGCCCCTTTATACTAAATATAATATGCGTGATTTGGGACTTTTGGATGAACATCTCATTGCTTCTCTTGCAAGCATTAGGCCTACCCCTGAGTCCTATGTCGTATATAATTTTAAAGGCAAACAAGGCGCTTGTATTTGACTTCGTATTTTCTGTCGATCAGAGAAGTATTTACCATTATCTTCTTTTAAATTATGACTAGAACGATTATATTTCTTCTCCTTAGTTATCGTAGGTTTGATAGTTATTTTTTCAACAGTGAAACTAAACTATACACGAATTCCCATTTCCGCTGTGGATGAGTGGTGACTTGTCTCAGTTTGATATGGGATACTCGGTTTGCATATCATAGCAGATGGCAAGTATAGCCAGGCAAGAAAGTCTTTAGTGAGATAAGTCTAAATGAAATTAATATGAAGGAAAGCTGGATTTCGAAGATTGCATTAATAAGTCGAGTTAGGCTTTCCATTTATTTTTTTTGACTTTATAAAATCAGTATAATTGCATTTTTCAATTAAAATTAAAATCAAACTTAGGTAGACTCCGTGCAATACCTTATGTGGGAGTACCTTTTATTTTGTTCAAGGAAGCGAGTGGAAGGAATTCGTAATTTGGCAACACCGGAAGCTGTAGGAGGATTGACTTGGTGCTGTGATTGTTGATTTTTGCGAATGGGTTCTCGACGTACTGCCCCGCGGCCCCGATGAATCCTGCTCTGATAATATTTTTCACATGACGGACGAAGCCCCACCGAGGTTTAATCGAGGCTGCAGGGTTTGGCGTCGAGGACATATTCGCACAAATCTGTAATCACAGCACCATGGCAATTCCTCTACAGTTTTCGGCAAGGCCAACTCACCAATCTCTTCCACTCGCCTCTTCAAGCGAAATGAAAGCTACTCCAACATGACTATTAGGAGATTTTTAGAAAACAAGTTTTTATGCATATCTGTGTAAATTTGTTTAAAGAGGATTTAGTTATGTTTAAAACAAGAGCATATAGATATTATTTCGTTTATAAATATATTTCAATTTTTATTGAGTCGATTGTTATAGCAAAACTAACTTTACTTCATCAATAATCCGCCAAAGAATATGATTTGGGGAAACGTCTGGCCTACTTTGAACTTCATATCTATTCTGTACCCTAAAGGCACTCGTGGCAAGGTGGTGTAGTGAGTAGCGTGTCGAGATTACACACTGCACTTTGATTGTTCGAGTCCACAGGGTGTGTTGATAAGGCCTAAGCGTCGTCGAAACTTATGTCTAAAGGTGATAAGAACATCTTTTTGAATTGCAAGGATATATGAAATTCAACGCTAGCGTCAGCTCTATTCATATAGAAGTGGGTTGACCTCGTTGTCGCAACTTGTTCAAGTTGCCAGGGCAATTCAGTAGAACGCACCTTTTCTGGTTTAGTTGTCATGATTCCCAGCATCAGACAGTTGACTTGGTACATTTTTAAACGTTTCGTCGGCATCATAGTTGGTATTATCAGTGAATTTTGCCATTCTCCG